GAGAGCCCCATATCCTAGGGCTGAGCAAGAGGATGCCATGGACCAGTTTTCATGTCAACAGTCTGCAGGTGGTGAAGTGGCCACCACAAGAGTTCCTCCCATGTCAGAGCCCTGCTGTGAAAAACATGTACCTCATTCCCAGTCAGATTTTGGGTTTGATTTCAAGCCGCTTGTCATTCTTATTCTCCTCTACTGGAGTAGAGAACTTGCCTCTATGTCACATCTTCTCTTCATGGGAAGAAAATATCAAAGATAGATTATGAATGTAATAGCATAAAAATGGCTGTGCTCTGCTATGGCTGATACAAGCTCCCTACAAAAAGGCACTGAAACTCAAGGCATTATATAGAAACTTCCTGTAAACAAGGGTCAAGGTCATCCTGACCTGGCAGTCATACCTAGGCCATCATATTCAAAAGCCAGCGAGGAACTGATCCTCCACAAATTGCCTAATCCCCATTTCAACTCACTTATACTCCACAGCATCCTCTAACAATAATTCTTCCACCTGTGTGACGCAGACAATGAATTCCCTTTTGTTTGCAGTGAAATTGCTGCCTGAGCTCAACCCTCTTTCCTTTAGATCAGATTAAAATAGATCAAACACCTCAAGTTCTGCACATTCAAAAGTTTCAATAGTTTCAATCCTTCCTTAGCATTTTTAAAGTCCATTTACGTACAGGTAGAGTTCCATCTCTTTGTTCCCAGCCTCCTTCAAATCAGCCAACTTTACACCAGCGAAGCCTGTTGTAGGTGCCATAATGACAGCAGTCCTCCTCCAGTGTGGTGAGACATGAGGATACCCCAGAGCCAGCAGGGTCTCTGCTGTGCTGAAGGCTAGCCAAATGCTGGGCTTCATCAGCAGGCGCACAGCAAGCAGTGGTTAATGCCATCTTCATGGCACATCTGCAATGCTGTGAGACACTGACACACTGGAGCAAGTCCAGCAATGGGTTCTAAGATGGCTGTGGGTGGAGGACAAAGGGGAGTTAACTGCTACCTGCTACTACCCAAAGCGGGGTTAGAGGGAAGATAGAGCCAGACTCCTCTCACAGGACCACAGAGAAGGGCCACAAGGCAAGGAGCAGAGGTTGCAACAAATCAACTTCCTATGGGACCCAGGGAAAAGCCTCTCCTGTGAGGGTGCCTAGGCAGTGGAACAGGTTTTCAGAGAGGCTGGAGAGCCTCCACAATTGGAGATGTGCAGGACTGGCCAGGCCCTGAGCAACCCAGTCTAGTTTGAGTCACCCTGCTGGGAGCAGAGGAATGGAGTAGAGACCCCACAGGTGCCTTCCCATGGATCTTCCAATGATGCTGTGACTAACAAGTGGGTTTATTTGACTCTGCATTTTTCCTTCGTGGGCCAGTAGAAGAAGCTACCTTACAAAATGATGCAGGCTGCTACCTGCCTTGAGGTGCCAAATGAGGAGGGAATGGAAAGAACCAGCTCAGCTGCCACTACACTCTGAATTGCAGCCTGTCACACAGTCATGTTAATCCAGCATAAATGCATAGCATTGCAGAAAGGGGCAATCCCATCTTCCCTTTCGTCTCTCCTGCTGCCTCTCTTTTGTCAACACTGATGAGCAGCAGAGAATTGATCCAGCTGAAAACTAAACTATAGAGAAATAAATCCATTTCTATTCACAGTGAACCCTTTCAGTTTAAAAATGCACCATCTCCCTCCCTAGTGATTTTTGCTCAAAGCAAAGTGGCTGGGGATCACCAAATCAGAGACTATTCTTCTCAGGAGTATTCTGGAGCACTGCTATCCCCTTCCTTGCTGTGCCATCATCTGCAGGAACCTTCCCAGGGTTTGTATTCTTCTGCAAATGACTTCTCATAGCATTATATGTTCCTTCAGTTACACTTTACTTTAATTATTTCTAGCTTTCTCACTAGGAAAGAAGTAACATATTCTTTATTAATAAGTAATTGCCTCTAGCTTCCAGAGCTCCAGTGTACCACAAGATATGGTCTCATGTTCTCCTGCCATCATGCACCATGAAAACACAACATGTGGGACAGATCTACTTTTCCACAGTTCCTGAGGACACATGCAAGTAAGCCTAGAGTCAGACCTCTGTGTTTGCTGTGTGATGCTCATCCCCCAGCGTCTGAAACAAGTTAAGGTGCCTCTTCTATGTCAGAGGGACCCATGATGCTGCCAAGAATAAGACAAAGAGAGACACAGAGAAGGTGTGAGCCCCTTGAGCAGAAGACACATCCTTCTGTGGCAACATTTCTTGGGGGGTGGTGGTGGGGGAATTCTTGCTGTATTGTCAGTTGACAGCAACAGGAGTAATGGGGATCTGACCCTGGCGTATGTGGATCAGCCTCTCTTGGCTCCCAGGAGACCATCAATATTCCCCCATATCAGCTGCTGGAAGGTCTTACACCAGCAGACACAACCCATATCTGTTCTGGAGCTCCCCCAGGCGAAAACAGTCCTGCAGTGTCCCTGCAAGACTGCCAAGAGACTGGAAACTGAAAGCAGCCACTCTTTAGGAGTTTGTGTGTGATCTGTTGGGGTAACCCAGGCTCCCTGGTTTCTCTGGGTGTCCAGCATCCTTCTCCCAGCCTCTCCTGACATCACTCTTACCACCAGCCTTGGTGCTGACGCCTCTTTCAGAAGTCTTGTTTGCTGGCCATTTCTAGCAGTGCTTACATGCTTTCTGCACTGCCTCTGATGTCCAGCGCTGTCATCCAGCTCTGCAGCTGGCACTGGAGCTTCCAGACCTCCAGGGCCCAAAGGACCCTGCAGGGTCAGATCCTTGCTCTCCAGCTCCCCCTGGGAGAGCCATGTTCTGGGAGTCCCACTCTCAGACCAAAGTTCAGCTCCTGTCAGAGTGCTCCTCACCCTCTTTCAGCCCTTACCTGAGTCAAGGGAATCTCATAGGACCCCTCTGCTATTGCCCCAGTCACTCAGCAGCACACGACACATTGAATCAGTGCCTGACTCCTTCAGCTCTGTGTCAGATCACTGGAACTGAGAGCTTTCTCCTCACAGTTCGCAGGCTTCTCCCATCCCTTGCATGTGTTGGGCTCCTGGGTACATCTTTGCTCTTGAGAAAACTCACTGCAGCCCTGGGATGTCTGGGAGCCTATCACATATTTTTCCATTGGATTAAAAGCATGGCATGAATGCTGCAATGACAAGTCAAAATGTAACCTGGTTTGCTTGCATGGACTTTGGTAGTTGATCCACCTCACCCTCTGTGTTGCAAAACACAGAGGCTGTGACATCAAAGACATCCTGCGGCATCAAAGACTTCTCCTGAGTAGGTATTGGCCAAGGTACCGATATCCACCACCATCTCTGCAGGTAGATATCTAAAGAGCATCCCTTCTTTCTCCCCGGAAGGATCTGGAGGCCCTGTGAAAGAGAACACACTTCTATGCAGCTAATGCTGGCCAGATACAAGATGCTTAGCTGACAAATATGCCCATCAGTGCTGTAGATTAAATCATTGGCTTGTTTTGGTTTTTTAGCTGCAATGCAGCCCCCAGCTTCAGTGAGCATCCCCCAGTGTCGTTCCTGACTTTCTAATCCAGGTTTCTCTGGGATATTCTGCTGTCTGCTGAGGATTGTCATCCAAAGGTCACTCACCTTTTAACGCTGAAAAGAAACAAACAGGCTGCAGATTTGTCCAAAGACTCCATAAAGCCATGATTTCCCAAACATGTTTCCATGGGGTTCTGGGAAGCAGGCCACCACTAGCCTCTCCTCAGCTCCACATTACAGACCTGTGGTGACTCAGGCACTTCCCATTCAGCAAATCCTCTAAAATAGACCTATTCAAAAGAGCTTCCCAGTAGGTGTCAGGCAGCCAGACACGCTTCCTCCTGCCAGCACTTCTGCAGAGGCACATTGTGTTTTGCCCAGATCTACTGGAAGTTGTGAACTTTCTGTTTTCTGATCCTCTTCCCCTCACCCTTTGTTGGGATTTGTCACCTCAGATAAATGAGTCCCTCTCCTAAGACCACTCTGACGTGTGGTGTACCCTGGCCCTGGGAAGATAGCATGCTGCTTCCAGGCACTGCAGAGGGACAGAAGTCTGGAGCAACTACTTCCTCCCGTGAGAAAGGAAACGTGTTTGGTGCCCACCCTGGGCTTAAAGCTGAGCAGTTTAATAATCACAATGGATCCCAGGTTGGTGCCTCGGTAGAAACCACCACAGCCCTTTGTGGGGGAAGACTGGCTTTCATTCCTCTACCTCAGGGGTGCTTTTCCACACGGTGCCTCTCACACAAAGCCTGCCACGTCTTGAGCGTCAGCTCTTTCTGGTTCAGGGTTCTGCTGCTTGGCCCTTCCACAGCCACAAGGTGTTAACTTGAGAACCGCTGTATCTGTTCCAGTCACCCAGAGAAGGGCAGCTCTGCTCCTTCCCCTCTTTCTCTGAGCTTAGATCTCTTTAAGCTCCCTGAGCTTCCCAGTCAGTGCCAAAAGTCTTGCAGCTCATCCCAGCCTGACCCCTGGGAACCTCACTGCCTCCCTAGGCACCTGCCCGGTGCTTTTGCTCACACCATGTCCCCTGCCAGACCTTCCCTTCTGTCTCCCTGGTTTCTGTTTGCAGTCCCTCGCCAAAAGTTATTTGTTATCTCTTATTAGTAAGTAACTACTTTTTGCTTGTTGTGTTTGCTTTAGCTCTGGGCAAACAGCAATCAGGACCTTTTACACAAGGTCCTTTTGGTGGGTGCTCTACCTCAGGAACACCCAGACCAGCTGATCTCAAGCTGCATGGGCTGATAGCCCAGCCTTCAAGTCATAGCACGAGTTAAAGTCTGCAAATCAATTATAGAGCACCTCAAAATGTCAGCATAAAGCAGAAGATTGTGACTAACTTCAGACTGCTGCAAGGACTAAAATATGAAAGTGGAATCACTCAGAGAGAGACATGGTATCACAGAAATCTGGAAACAACGGAAAATTCCTTCAGCAAGATTACCTCAATGATTCTGCAGAATAGTGCTTTCTATTCCTACTTTTCTTGGTAAGTGTAGTTTGCACGCCCAAGACATGTCAAGACAGACAAGAAAAACAATGTATGAAGGTTGTGTGCGAGGTGACTGCTGCAATTAAGTCTGGAACCTGGCTGAAGCTATCTAATGCCTAACACAGACAAGGGAGTATTTAGTGAGCTGGGCTGCTTCATCCCTGTCCTGCACTGCTCCTGTCATAGCCTGACCCTCCTTGCCCATGGCTCTGCTGGTGTCCCACACGTCCCTGTCAGCCCCTCTGCCCAGGGGACGCATGCAGGCAGCTCTGAGAAGATGCCCTGGTGCTGCTCTTGCCCCGGTCACTGTTACTTCTGTGGCGGGTCGTGTTCTGGGAGATGACGAAAATGCCATTCGAGGGAGTCAGCATTTCAAATGGGTCGTTCGAACGTCACAGGTGTCTTTGCTAAAGATAGCCTGTGCTGAGTAAAATGGTACCTCCAAACCCTGCATTTCACAACACGCTCACTCAGCATAATAACCCCTCAGCCTAAGTGCCCCCCAGTGCCAGGCAGCTCCTGGCACCTCTCTGGGCTCTCCATCTGTCCTTTGTGACTGCCTCCTGGGAGGCAGCAGTAAGATGGGAATAAGTGTCTGTCCTTAACTGGTTCCTAGAAGACAGCACTTCCTAGACAGGGATGCGGTGAAGGGTGGTTTTGGGGACTAGAAGGGAATAACGTCAGGGTGCTGACGCTCAGAGTGAAGACTGGATCAGAATGGAGGGGGAGAGTAGTGAGTTCATTGTGTCCCCTGAGTGAAGATAGGGGAGGGGGAGCCCATGATGCTGGGCGGTGGAGCTGTATGTGCCTTCCCACCATGGTTCCATCTCCCTTCTCTCTCGTCTTCGTTCACCCACACTCACACCACTCTCGCACTGCTGATTCAGGGGAAAGAGAGGTTGGTGCTTTCTGCTTGGACTGGCCACCACAAACTGTTTTTCTTGAAGAGGAGGAAAAAACACCTCCTGTTAACCGTCACAAGTTCTCCCCCATCTTCTCTCTTCCTCTCTCACACAATGCCATGGGCTGTGTAACAGAGGGGCACAAAGGACCACTTCAGAGCAGTCCCCTGGGGGCACAGAGGCACAAAAGGTTGCACCAGGTTCCTGTGCACCAGTACAACTCTTCTGGGGGCTGAAGAGCTGAGTGTAATAGAAGAGATGAGAGCTGTCACCACAACAGGGGCTGCTGAAATGAGGTGTACCACTTGCTCTTTTATGCTCCACCTTCACCACCAGCTGAGGAAAGCTAGAGAGTGAGCAAGGATCCTTCCACAGTGAAGAAGTGCCTGCTCTGAGTCACGTCCCTTCCCTCACCCCCAGCCCACCCTCAGGGCATGAGCTGCCAAGGGGCTTGGTTGTATGACACCCGTCATGAAGGGCTGATTAAGTCCGAAAGAGCCAGAGTCAGTGGGTTGCTGGAAAGTGTGAGCCACAACAGTGGTGGGTTCTCTGAGGCAAAAGGGGCCCCCAGGCTGAGGCACATGGATGGAAATGTATTGCCCTATGCAAAGCTTATCAATCAGCTGCACGGGAGCTGGACTGAGCACCCTCAGAGCACAAGCTTGGGTGGGTTTTCCCCAGCGTTGCTGGATTAGGAGGGTCCCTTCCTCACCCCTCTCGCAGTGCTACAGCCTGCAGCCCCTCTTCTCACTGCCGGCTGCTTCTCCTCTCTGCCCCCTCAGACCATCTCAGCTTTGTCCTATATTGCCGCTGGGCTCAGGATTGATGGGTCACATGTGCTCTGGTTGGAGGTCACCACAGACTCTTTCCTCATGCTGCTTGTGAAACTAGCACATTTGAAGGATTAAATGGAGGGAGAGGGAGGAAAAAACCCAAACACAACAAAAATAAAAGAACAGCAGGAAAAAAAGATGAACGTGTTCTCAAAAGCCCTGAAACAATCAGTGAAAAGCTGAAAGAGGCGGAAAGATCAAACCAAAAAAGGTAAGAGATGAAAGAAAAACATGAAGGGCACTTGCTGGGAAGTGTCTTCTACACTTTTTCCACTGTCTATGTAGAAGCGAAACCTGTAAGAAAAACAACAGCGACCCAAAGAATTTCCACTCAAAGATGCTTAGAGCAGTGTCTCTGGTCCCTCTCTTACACTGGCTTCAGCTCTGCCCTCACGTGCCTCAGACTTTGTACTGGTTTCTTGGCCATGACGCATCTTCTTAGTGATATGGGGAAATCAGCTGCCCACCTGCAATATAAGGGCATCTAGGGGAATGCTTTGATCAGAAAGAGAGAGGCAGCAGAAGAGCAAGCACATCCAGCTGCCCCCCTTTGTTCATCCTCCCACTTCATCATCTTCTTTGCTTGTGCCTCATTTTTGCTGAGCTCTTAAAGCTTCCAACCTGACCAAGCACAGACCTGAGTGGGAAGACAAAGACCCTCGCATCTGCTGGATGCCGCCATGAGGCCCGTGTTCCCAGTGCTGTTCCTCACCTTCACTCTGCTGGCTTTCAATGGTGAGAGGGGCTGAATGTATCAGGGAGGGCAGAGTAGTTCAGTAAGCTGAATCTGGCTGTTCCTTGGTCTCTGACAGATCTGGAAGGGAGGCAGTGCCCTATCCCGTGAAGATAGGCAGATACTGCTCTCTGCTCCATGAGTCCCACCCTTTGCTGAGCCCTCCATCTCGTTGCAGCTGGCCACATCCTACCAGGAGCAGCAGAGGTGGGAAGCAGGAAGCAGAAAGTATGGGCCAGAGCGGGGAGTTCAGCCGTTCTGCCTTGCTACCTGAGCCACAGAAAGATGGGGAAGAGCTGGAAGCAACTGCCTGACAAGACATCTGTGCTGTGGAAGCGGCTTGGGGGAAGGTACGCCAGGGCCAGGACAGATCCGTGTCCTTGGGGGGGGGAACTGGGGAGGGTGTGAGAGACTTCTGGCCCCCGTTCTCCTTCCCCACATTCCTTCCTTCCTGCTCCCCCCTCCTTGATCTCACTGGTGCCTTCAGCACGAGCCACTCACTCGTCCCACCCGCAGCACCCACCAGGAGCCACACGTAGTGCTGGAGGTGGAGGACTCGGGGCTCAGGAAGACGGCGCTGCCCATGAGGCCCCGGGTGTCACTCCAGGACTCTGCCTTACGCAACGGCAACTTCTCCCTGAGCATCAGCCCCGTGCGGAGCGAGGATGCCGGGCTCTACGAGGCGTGGGTGATGCGCAACACCAAGGTGCAGAGCTGCCACGTGGAGCTGGAGGTCATCACAGGTAGGAGGAAATGGAAAACCTGGGGAACATTGGGTTTAGGAGTGGGGAGGTTGTAAGGGTGGGACGGGCAGGGGATGCCATGTCTGCCAGAGCAGGGTAGAGAACAGGGAGCAGCCTCCTGGAAGAGCACAGCTTCCTGCTGTCTGCTTTCAGCTCTGGAGAAAGTGCTGCTTGAGGGACAAAGCTAGGGCAGAAGGGGCAGTCCTAATGTGACCTCAGCTTCCCCCTCTGCCACTTGTTTTTTCTTACAGTAACCCTCAGTCCACCCAGCCCTGTGGTGGCAAACGAGCCGCTCTTGTTGCAGTGCAACTCCAGCCACCGTGCGAGCCTCGTGGAGACATGCTGGTTCCACAATGGGCGCCTGGTCCCCACCTCCAGGACCTTCTGCTCCTCGCATGGGGCTCTCTCCATCCTCCGGCCAACCATGAGCGATGCGGGCTCCTGGCGCTGCCAGCTCAGATACTCCGATAATGAGATCATTTCTGCCATGTACAACCTGCAAATTCTAGGTGAGCTCAGCCTCTGCGTTCCTACTCCAGCATCCCCAGGTTGCTCAGTCTGATGTGACTGGCCGAACCCAGTGGCCTCAGCTTTCCAGCTCCCACCCCGTCCTCACCTCCCTGTGGAGCTCTTTCCAGCTACCATCCCACTTTGTCCTCTCTCTGGCTCAGGTTTTGAAGGCCCAGCCAACCCTGTGGTCTATGCTGCAGCTGGTTCTGCAGCTGATCTACCGTGCACCTTGAGCTACCTTCCCAGTGCCTTTGGGATCAATGTGGTGACAGCCCACTGGAGCCGCCTTGCAGGAGGACACTTGCAAGACCGGGGCATCTCCTACAATTCAAGCAGCAGAAGCTTCCCCCTTCATCTCCCTGCGGTGGGGCTGGGTGATGCAGGACAGTACCGCTGTGCTGTCTCTGTCAGCAGCAGGATGATCAGCAGGGATGTGACCCTGGCAGTGGTTACAGGTGAGGGGAGACAAAGGGAGGTGCATAACTCCTCAGGGGTCCCACGCTGCTTGCAGATAAACCTCCTCGCACATCAGTGCATGAGCATGGGTTGCTCCTGCTCGTAAGTTCCCACCCCAGGTTGGGAAACAAGTTCTCTGTTCAGGGCATTGCACTGCGCTGGACTCTGATGAAAGCAGGGGTTTTCCAGGGGAACTTGATTCTTCTTAAGACTGAGGAAGACAAAATAAATCAGATGGGGTAAAAAAGGAAGTGTGTTACAGAAGAAGGAGGGATAAGGAAGAGATGTGGACCTGCCTGTAGTCCTTCCTAATGGTATTGCTTTCTCCTCTCCTGCAGTCACTCCAAGCATTCAAGGACCCGTTTCTGAGGGGAGTCACTTGCTGCTCATCTGCAGCCTCACACACCCTCAGGGACATGAACGTTTCCAGTGGAAGCAGCTTGACTCAGCCCCTACTAACAGCAAGCTGGCCAAGGCCACCTCCCATAACCTGCGGGGCCACAGATTTCAGATGGGCCCTACCTTGGAAATACCCCATGTGTCACAAAAGGATACGGGCACATGGGAATGCAGTGTGTATGGCCCAGAAGGCAGACTGGGAGCAGTGGAGTATGGGCTGCAGATCACAGGTACTGCTCCCCATGGATCCATAACAAAATCCTGTCTTCTCATCCTATTAATTCCCTAGTGCCCCTTCCTGTCTCGGCTTCACCCTGTCCAGCTTCACCCTGTGCTGTCCACCCTCCTCCTCTTTGGCTCCTTGGATCCCATCTTGCTGTTGTCTTGTCTTAGCTCTCACCAGTTCCTCCTGTTGCTGCTTCCAGTACCCTGCAGCCTCTTCCAGTTTGCCTGTCTTTCTGCAGACCCAGCCTTGCCCCAGTGCAAAATCAACCTTCCCCTCCTTCCTAACAGTGGTTGTTCCTTACAGGTGCCCAGGTCTCCAGCCCTCCCACCATCTTCAGTGGGCAGGTTACGTTTGGGCTCACACTCACCTTCTTCCTCCTGCTTACAGTCTGTGTCATGGCTCTGGCCCTACAAAAAAGGGTAAGTGTCCATCACCCCATTTCTGTTAGCTTTCCTGTACATCAGCCCTTATTTGACCTTATCCTTGTTTGACCTTACCCTGGGTGCCCTAGAGACAGCAGTAAAATGTCTCAGGGGCACAGCAGCCAGAGGAAGAATGGGAATCAGGCAGCCTCTGAAGATGTCATGGACATGAAGCAAAAGCTGTATCCTGGGCACCAGTAGGTCTGACTAACCATAGCATTCATCTGGGGGATGTCAGACACTTCAGAGGAAGATTAAACCCCCCCTAGAGGACAATCACAGCCCAGCCTTGAAAAGGCTCTTGTTTATTCTCCCAGAGATCAAGCCATGCTGTAATAGGGCAGGGTTAATTTCCAGGCTTTTGTAGGTGTCCTTTCTTATTCCTTATCTGGATACTTTGATGTAACAGCCTCCTGTTCTGTATAAATGCCTGCTGGTCCCCTGATGCTGATCTCGACGCTGGCTCAGACCTCACACCTGGGCTGTCTGCTGCCTTAATTTGATCAGCTTGTTCCAGTATCTTGTCTCCTGAAAACTCTGCCTTGCCTTTATGATCCCAGAGACCAGACCAGGACTGATCCCTCCCCAGCACATCACTGGAAAAAGAACGTGTTCCCTGAAAATCATTTACACATCAAATTCTTCCTTTAGGGTTTCCCTTTGCTGACCAAGGACACTTTTGCAGAGTAGCTGTGATGTAGTTGCCTTCTACTTAGCTTCTTGGAAAGGGTCCACAGTGAAAATCCCCTTCCAGTGCAGAAGGGGCTGTATTGATTGCCTGTGTGTCACCAGACACTTTACTGTTATCGGAGGCCCTGGGATCTACCTCTTTTCCATTGTCTAGGAAGTTACTTGTTAAAGCAAGATGTGAAAGTGAGTCTGTCTTCCATTTGTTCTCACCTCATTTTGCAGGAACCTTCATACCTTTAATTATTCTCTCTGAAAAAAGTGTTGTAAAATCAGGCATCCCATAGAACCTGGCAATGGCCTGACCATTGCCCACAACATTTTTTGCTCTCTCTTGGGCATGTCCTGTCTTTGTTATTCCTTATGCCTATGACACCACAGAGGATAGTGTTGAACCAGCCTTTCCCAGAAGAAACTGCATGTCTCAGAGAGTGGGACTGGGGCTCTTCCCTGACTGTAGGAGGGAACAAGAGCCTCGTGGTTGCAAGCAGCAGGACCACATCTTCCATGGCAGCCCAGACTTGTGCCATTCAGTCTCTCTTCCATGCTTGATATTGCCTTTTTCTTCCCTTTCAGGCACGGTCTCCTGCCTTCCCTGCACTGGATGGGATGATTGCAATTGCTATGCCGAGGAAGAAGGAGGTGGAGGAAAACCAGAAAGAGAACATCCAGCAAACTGAGTGCTGATGGCAGCAGGGACCAGTCTGCATGGGAGGATGAAACTCTGTGTGCCATGCTGCAGAGAGATGGACACTATGCAGACCTCTCAGGAGGGTCTAGGGATGGCGTGAAGATAGCAGGAAGCTGTGGGAGATCTGTACCTGCAAAAGGGCTGGAAGCTGCGTATGAGGGCAAAACACGACTCATCTCTGCAGCAGCACAGGTGCTTTGGAACTATTGGGAGTATTCGAGCCGGTAGCTATTGCCTACTCCGGTGACACCTCCCTCTCCCACCCTTTGCCCCTCCTTCATGGCCTCTCTCACAGCCTTTTAGTGGTGGGACACTTGGACCCAGGAGATAGCTGGAACCCAGCTCCCTCGCAGCCCAATGGAGCTTTCTACACACACACACCTCACACACACACACACACCCCCCTGCTTTCTTCTCCCTCTCCCCACCCTGCCCTGCTCTAGCTCTCATTCAGGGGCAAAGGGGACCCCACAGAGAATGGCACGTGTTGCACATTTTGAACGCTTTATTTTATTAGAAACTCATTTTAGAAACTAAAATAAACCTGCCTGACCAAAACACCTGCTGTCCCCTGCGTGTGCCTGGGGAGGATTGTGCCTGGTGCTGGTGCCGGGTGTACCAGTGCCCTGTGGGAAGCAGCTTCTAAGGACTTTCCTGCCTTCTCTATCTCTTTCAGTTCTGTGTTATTGAAGTTGCCTGTTCATTTCTGACATTTTCACAGTAGGGAAGGGGAAATTGAATGCCACTAGAGAAGAAGAAATCACAAGTTAAAGCTCCTCTTTGCTGTGTTTCAGAGCCTTTTGGTTTTTCTCCTGCCTGGCTGTCACTGTTGATTCATTTCTTCCTTTAGCCCTCACATTTTCCTGGTAGATCTTCAGTTGATGTTATGGGTCTCTGTCACTCTCCTCCTGCTACAGATATACTTAGTAAGCATGAATCCACCAGGCCCCACCTCTCAAGACCCCCAATGTGTTTAGGTTTCATGTAGGTAGAGAATGTTCTTCAACTCCTCTCCAAACAGCCATGGAGGACTGCAGTCACTGCATGCCACCCCAGAGGAAGCCTCACTAGTAAAGAGAGTGACACAAGTAGTTTCTTCCATATGGGTCCTTAAGCTGTGGCTGCTTAGGGAGGTGGTGGTACAAAAGCTGATCTCTCAGTGTTTAGGATGGAAGATTCTCTTGACTTGAGTAAAGGGCTTCACTGCCAAGCCAGCTTTTCATTATTTCAGCAGGCACATGAAGAGGCCTTCTTGCTCTGTGGCTCTCACCTTTCTCCCCAAAGAGCTGGGGGAGACAGGTACTCAGGTCCTTCAGGCACACAGGTATTGAATGCACTCAGGGATCCTCATACTACAAGTAGTGGAGCAGCACCCAGAAAGTCACAAGTAGCGCACTCTGTGGAGCATGTCTGGACTCTGCAGTGATTTAGCTATCCAGCTATCCACATCTTTTGCTGAAAATGATACCCATTTCTCCACTGAGTCCTAGAGCAACGCAGCAGAGGTGTGAGGTAGACTTGTCTGCTTCAACTGTTCCACACAACCACTGAAACAGAGCCAACACAAGGCAGGACAGTCCAGCATGGCACCAGGCAAATGATAATGCTGCAATTGTTTTCAGGTTGGGGTGATCTGTGTAGCTCAGTCTCCTCTCTCTGCCAGATGCTTTGGAGGTAGAGAAAAGGTGGGTTAAGCCCAGCAGGGCTAAGGAGCAATCCAATATTCAGCAGGACCACATCATATTCTCCCAGTGCCTGTTGACAGTGGTTTGCCCTCTCTTCTCATACACAATGGGATGCTCTCTCTCCTCCTGTAGGTAATAGCGTTAGCATTGCCTGTTACCAGCCTGGATGTTCTCATTGCTCAGATGTGTGCCTGGTCTGTCTTTAAACTTTAGTGTTTTCTTGTAGTCTCTGACCTCCTCTGGCAATCAGTCCTCAGGTCAGCTTACTCACAGTGTGAAAACAGTTCCTCTTTATCAGCTTTGAATTCAAAGCTTTCTGCTTTCATCATCTACTTTCTCCTGTCACAAAGGCTGGAAGAAGAGGGACTCCTAATCTGTCATCCCTTAACCAGTCACTATTCTACTGCCTTTTATCACACCCACTTTTTCTACCTTCCCCATCCTCTCCTGACTCATTGCCTTTCAGGTACAAATCCCAGATTTTGGGGACTTTCTCCCTTACAGCTTGCTCAGGCCTATCTCTATGCATGGTCAACTCTCTTTGGATCCTTTGCTCTGGGGCTCTTGCCTGATCTGGTACAGTAACAGTAAGCCAAAGCCTAGAAATATTTATGCAGTTCACATTTTCCCTCCAGCTACATGATTTTGGGAACAGTGATGCTGAATTCCATTTGCCTTCCTGTTGCTGATGAGCACAGCTTGCTTCCATTTCTCCAAAGCTCTTGACATTTTCTCGTCTTCTAACAAATTCAAACAGCTTCATGTTGTCTACATACTTGGTCTTCTTGCTGCTTCCCTCCTTGAACACTAGAAACTCATGCCTTAATTCAGACTCTCTTGAGCCCCATTGCAGCTATGTTTGGTTATGCTGCAAGACCTGCGTATGCAGGAGGCACAATCATCATAATACCAGTAGTAGTTCCTGAAAATACTGTCTTTGTAATAGAACAACGGTGTCTGAGGTGTATAATCTGTGTGGCACTATCATCTACAAAGGCCACGAGGCCTCAGATATGGTTGAGTATAAATACAAATTCCACCAGCTCTGTCTGAAGTACTGAGAATGACATCTGAAGCTTCACAGATGTTGAGACTTGCTTTTGTAACCAGCAGAGCACTTTGTGCAGATGAGCATCACTGACAAAATACAGGCACCAACAAAAGCCACAAGCACGGCCATTGAGCTGCTTTGAATGACAGACCTCAAGGAAATCTGAATCAGGATGGCACGAGGGAAATCAGGAGAGTTGAAGTGGAAGGAGCAAGAGTCTGTACAATAAAGCAAACAAATCCGGAATTCTGTCCCAAGTGCAGTCAATAAGTAGGAACAGCAAATAAAGAGCAAATAAAGCAAATGTCATGCGAAGGAAAGAGACTGGATGCTTTTCCACGAAGATACAGCTGCAGGTGAAAAATCATAGATAAATATTGCCAATGGTCCAGCATTCTGGATGTGTGTCCACAAGCCACTCTATCACTCCTCTCCTCAGCTGCACAGGGGAGAGAAAACAGAATGAAAGCCTCATGGGCTGAGATAGGGACAGAGAGAGATACTCACCAGGTGCCATCATGGGCAAACCAGACTCCATTTGGAGAAAATAGATGTAATTTATTACCAGTAAAATCAGAGTTGGATCATGAGAAATCAAACCAAGTCTTAAAACACTTCCCCCCATCCCTCCCTGCTTTCCAGGCTCAGCTTCACTCCATCACAGCAGTTTGGAGGGACGGGGAACAGGGGTTATGGTCAGTTCACCACAGGTTGTCTCTGCCCCTTTCACTCCTCAAGGGAGGACTCCTCACACCCTTCCCCTGCTCCAGCGTGGGGTCCCTCACACAGGAGACCGTTCTACATTAACTTCTTCTACATGAGTCTTTCCCACGGGCTGCAGTTCTTCATGAACTGCTCCAGTGTGGGTCCCTTCCATGGGGTGCAGCCTTCAGGAACAGGCTTTAATCTTTAATCCCAGATTAATCTCTTGTTGTAAAAAAAACCCAATACTGTCAGAAAGAAAATAATCAGAACTAGGTCCAGCTGTTCTGCGTCCAAGATTTCCGAGGGATTTCAAGTGAGAGGCCAAGGAAGTGCCAGCGAATAGTGTAATCTGACGAGAAGCAACTAGAAACCACTCATTCGTTGTGGTGTTGGCATGTTGGGCACAACCTTTAAGATATAATAAGAAATTGGAAGCAGATCTGGAATTCTCTAGGCCATGGAGGCACTCTGATTTCTTACCTGCCTGGCAGACTGGTAGGAAGATTATCAGAACCAATTCTGCCAAGAAACCTCCCACGCCTTACTATTCTACTTGGATTTCCTCAACACTTCGATGCAGCAATGAAGAAGCCCAAAATATGTGGGGTCCTGCATTTTTGCCTTCCAAAGGTTCCCTCAAACCAGCCTCCTCATGGGAATGCTGGTTTAGGACCTACATTTTCTGCCACCCACTGAGATTCAAGGCATCTGGGACAGCAATTACATAGCTGTTGGCTCCATCATGCTCAAGAGCTCCTACTCCTAGGTTTCCACCTTGCTGGACTGCCAGTTCAATGCAACTGGCTCCAAAAGCTGTGTACTCTGACATGGATGTCATTCCACCTGAAGGGATAGGTTTCAGAGGGTCTTGCAGGAAGAGGACATAGGACACTCTCAGTGCGTAGGAGGTGAATGCACAAGGGCAGCTTTTGGAAGGACTTGTTTATTTGCATTCTTATAGAGGTTCCTCTTCGTTTACAAACACTGGGTGTCTTCCTTTCTGGTCACCAGGTCAGCACCCCCTGTTTTCCTGGAACGTCGAGGAGGAGGCACCAGCGGATCCCTACCAAGCTGCAGTGGCTGCAGGAGCTCAGCAGGGTCCCACCGGTCAGGCACTCTCAGCCCTTCGAAACCTGCTCCCTGGTGAGCGCAGGACGGATGGACATACACACACACACCCGTAGCCCCTGGTATCCCGCATCCCAAAGCCCCGTTTGCCCGCTGCCAAAGCCTTGTGCCCCCATCACCAACGGGTGATGCGGGTTGCGAGGCGACCTGGGCTGCGGGGGCGATGGCGAGGGGCAGCCCAGTGGGGCACGGCTAGGGCTGGTCGGCCCTCGCCCCTCTCCCCTCACCGTGGCTCAGCGCCTTCATCTCCCTGGGCCAGGTTTGTGCCGCCATCTAGTGTCCATGAAGGACAGGAATTCCCCCGCCCTCGCGCGTGCATTATCGGGAGCATCCATCATCTGTTCCTCCTGCGCTGCGAGCCCCGTGACTCAGCTCTCCAATGACCGGCGGATGCGCCCGCGGCCTCTTTTCCCTTTGCTTTCAGCCTAAGTAAAAGCGAAAATACTTATAATCACCACGCAGAAGCAAACCCTGATGGCGTGTGCTGTTGAATCACACCCCACATCAATGCTCCAAGCCTCAAGCTGCTTTCAGCATGATATTTCAGATCCTCTGTACTGATGAAAACTCTCCAGTTGTGCATCATAACAAATACTGACACCAACTCTTCCCCCTTCTTTTTGCCAAAGCAATTTATAATCATAGAATCACAGCCTGGGTTGGGTTGGGAGGGAGCTTAAAGCCCATCCAGTTCCAACTCCTTGCCATAGACAGGGACACCTTCCACTAGAGCAGCTTGCTTCAAGCCCTGTCCAACCTGGCCTTGAGCACTGCCAGAGATGGGGCAGCCACAGCTTCTCTGGGCACCCTGTGCCAGCGCCTCAGCACCCTCACAGGGAAGAGCTTCTGCCTAAGATCTCATCTCAACCTACCTTAAAGCTATAAGAAGATAGTAAGCAATACCTATCTCATACGGGTCCTTAAAAAGTCCTCCATCAACGTGTCTCCTACCTGTTGCGTTTCTCTCACATCTTTAACATCAGCTTGGTTTTGTTTAGGCTCACATTAGCCCCTGTCACTTTTGGTGACACACTTTTGCAGTTCATGATTCTTGGACGATCCCTCTCTCCAGTGCCCCCAGGCAGTCTCTGACACATCTGGCTATCCTTTCTCCATCACACTTCATACCTCCTGGCAAAACACAGGGGACCTCTTGCTCATGGAGAGCATCTCTGGAGATTTCCCCATTTTTCTCTGTGATCAGCAAATGAACCTTCATAATATCTGCTTAGAGAGTCTTCCCTTCCCAATTTAAGCTGCAGAGAGACTCCAAGCACCTGCAGAAACGTATTTTCTCCAAGCACAACCTAGGAGCCTTTCCTCCTTTTCAAGGTCCATAAATAGCTGTGCTGGGGCAAACCACCAGGTCCCCTCACCAGATGGCTGGCTGTTTCTAGCTCTGCATGTTGAGGACCAGAAATGCCCCTCAACAAGCTCTACAGGCATCAGCTATTCTGTTGCAAAGAGAAAGCTCCCAGCCTTTGAAGCCGCTGACATCCAGGTGGCTGAAGATGAGGTTTTCATGCTGTGTTCAACACTTGCCCTTCCTTCTCTCTGATACCACTGAGCAATAACCAATTTTCCAATACATCTGGGTATCTTTTGCCCATTGGAGCTCACAGGCACGCTCCCAGCCCTCACTGATGTGCAGGGAACTTGGTTTTAAGGAGACCATCTCTGGAGGTTTCTTGGCTTTCCACTGGAGTCCATAGGAGGCTCTTCTCAGCATTTGATTTCTGAGAGCCCTTTCTCCCCTTTTTTGCCCTTCCTTGGGGAGACCTTGTGTCCCTGCAGACTGTGACCTTGTCCTGGTTTCAGCTGGGTTATTTAGTTGCCAGCTGGGTTTAAACCACAACAGACTTACCCCCAGCACAGCCTGGGAGCCTCTTCTGTCCGCGCAGGTCTATGAGAATATCTTACTCACCAACTCCGGTTTGCATCATGGAAAGGTTGGGTTGGAAAGGACCTTAAAGCTCATCCATTTCCAACCCCCTGCCACAGGCAGGGACACCTTCCACTAGAGCAGGTTGCTCCAAGCCCCGTCCAACCTGGCCTTGAGCACTGCCAGGGATGGGGCAGCCACAGCTTCTCTGGGCAAAATGTTGCTGGTGACGGAGCAGAGCAAAGACAGACAGTGTGCCCTGGTGGGCAATGCCTCTGGCTGGGGCAGTGGTGTGCAGTGCTGGGGCTCTTCTTGCCACACTGCTGCAGGGTCAGTGTTGTAGTGCTGGGTAAGCCCTGCTTTCACCACGGTGCAGTTCAGGGACTGTCCCAGCGAGGGGAGAACCAGGCTGGAATGGAATTTAAAAACCAGTTCCATATTTATGAGAAATCTGACATTCAGAAGCGGGACCGGCTGGCTGATATTATGCATCCCTCCTGGATTCTGATGTTTAATTAATGCTTGCAAAGCGCTTTGAGATGCTTGGATGAAAGTGATACAACACATCACTGCGCTCTGTGGCCCTCAGTCCCAGAGGAACCTGCTCACCACAAAAGCTAGAGAGATAAGGCTCCCACCTGAATCCCTTCCCTGGGGTGAGAAGGAGTCCATGTGGGGCCAAGCCTCCAGCTTTTGTCACCTCAGACTCACAGCCCTGCTCCTCCTTCCAACTCTGCAGCAAGTTCAAGTGCATTTTGGAAGCTTTACCCCTTCAGGGAATGCTGTTTCTGGTGGATATTTGCAGTGACATAAACCAACTGTTTATAAAACAAGCCAGTGTTTTTGCATTACAGCAGGCTTGCGGGGACAAATGCAAGCCAGGATCCATGCAAACTGAAGCATCAGCTCAGTGCCACAGAGCCTCAAGCCCAAGATGCCAGGGTCTTAAAATCCCAACCTGACTTTTCTCAGCCCTGTTTTTCCCCCAGCAGCCCCTCTCTGGCAGCTAGAACGCACAGTTCTATTTGCAGGCATGTGAGGGTGTTTTGAAGACACTGATGTGATGCAGCAGGCTCCCTCCTCCAGCAATGCTGTGTCTCAGAACAAGGCTTTCATGGGCTCTGGACACTGGCAAAGCAGGCACCTATCCCATCCCATCTCACCCCACCCCATCCTGTCCATTCCCATCCCATAGCCTGTTTCCCACACTGGGAAGTTCTGGTCTCACACAAAAGGTGACTCTTTTCCTGTCAAGGGACAGCTTCATCTTCCTCCAAGGACGTGCCAATGGACCAGCTGCTGCACTCAAGGCCTGATTGGTGCTGTTCTTTTCACACCTGGTGCACACAATGAATTCAGCACTGTTTCTGTCTGCTCCTGCTTCTCCAAAGCCTGGTTACTTCTCGTCCCCCTACCCTGCAGACAAAGGGGCAAGTCGCTGCCAGGAGGAGAAGAGTGGGTGGCACACAGATGAAATCTCAGCCATGTCTGGGGCTCAGTGGGTTTCCGCTGCCGTGGCTGAGGCTGGGATTCAGAGAGAAAGACACCAAATGTGGGTGGGAAACCACAAAAGCCCCCTCCTCCACCCTACAGAGAAGGGAAACAGCTGAGATTCAGTAGTGATACAGGTTACCTGAGAGTAGCCCTGCATTGGATTTGTATGGCAAGGTTTCGGTAGTGGAGGGGCTACACGGGTGGGTTCTGTGAGACGTGAGCAGGACACATGTGACATGGGGCAGGCTCAGGCAGAGCCATGTCTGGCCAGCTGAAAGCAGACACACCACAGACCAAAGCTGAGGCAGTCAGCAATGCTGGTGCTGCCTCTGTGATAACATATTTAAGAAAGGGTAAAAAAAACTGCTGTGAGAGAAAGGAGTGAGAAAACATGAGATAAACAGCCCCGCAGACACCAAGATCAGTGAGGAAGGAGAAGGAGGAGGTGCTCTATCCCGTCACCTGAGCAGAAATTCTCCTGCAGCCCATGGAGAAGACCATGCGGATGCAGGTTGTCCCCTGCAGCCAATGGAAGTCCACTTGGGAGCAGTCTGTTCCTGAAGGACAGCGCCCCATGCAAAGGACCCACACTGGAGCAGTTATAGAACCATCAAATCATAGCACAGCCCAGGCTGGACAGGACCTTGAAAGGTCGCCTGGTCCAGCCTTCCATGGGAAGGGGGCCCTTGATGAGATTATCTACCACCCTGTCCCATTGCAGTTTGAAAGTCTCCATTGATGGGGACTCAGCCATGTCCCTGGAGAGGTTGTCCTGGTGAATGATTGTCCTCACTGTAAAAAACGTCTTTCTTATGTCGACATGAACATGAAGAACTGTAGCCCATGGGAAGGACCCACACTGAAGCACTACAGGAAGGACTCCACAGTGGTGCAGGGGAACAGCATGAGCAGGAAGGAGCTGCAGAGGCCAAGGGTTATGAACTGACCACAACTGCCACTACCTCTTCCTCTGTGACACTGTGGGGAAAGAAAGAGGGACGGAAGAGTCAGGTGTGAAGTTGAGCATGGGAAGAAAAGAGGGGGTTGTTTTTCTGCTATTGATTGATTTATTTATCACAATCCTACTCTGCTTTTAATTGGCCACAAATTAAATTAATCTTTCCCCAAGTGGAGTCTGGTCTGCAAGTGATGGTAACCGGCGAGCATCATCTGGTTTTACATTGACCCATATATCATCTTATCTTCTCCCCCTGCCTTGCTGAGGAGCCAAATTCAACCCACCACTGGTATAAAGAACATCTTCTGTCATCACACCCCAAATCTCAGCCATACTCCACAGACAGGTGCCCCTAACATATCAATAAGGGATCCCCTCTTCCTCTGTTTTTATCCCTGTGCTACCCCTGGTGTCAGGTCCATGGCCCATTTCTCAGAGGTGCCTCCTCTTAGTGGCGATGCAAGAGACAGGCTACGAGATGGAGGTTGGCTTGCTCTTACAAAGGACCAGAGGCACAGGCTGGGTCCAGATCTGCTCAGCTAACACATTAATTTGTGAGCTTTCTTTGACAGTAGAGCAGAACCAACCATTCGCTTTTAAGTTTCAGCCCCGTCACAGCCTCCCATCAGCTGCCATATAGGCCAATAGGCTCTCTCTGTTTCACACACTCATTCTTCCCATGCTTTCATTAAGGTCTCCATTTCTGTTCACACCCAGAGTTGAAATCGTGTGCATCTGGAAAGTCACCTTCTGCCTAGAGGAGCTGGTGGATGTGAGCAGAACCCGGACCAGCAGCGAGGCTTTTCTGATGCTCCAGCTGGAGAGGAGACATCAAGGCTGACGGCTGTTGAGCTTCTTTCTGAACATCGACTTCATTCTTCTTTTGTTTAAACTGTAGCTGGGTGAGATCAGTTACGGCAGGTGAAAAGCACAAGGGGATACAAACACAGAAGAATAAAGGAAGGAGAAGAGGTAAGGAAACTTGCTTTCTTGCTTTCTTTGAGAAAAGAGGCCAATCTGTTAATCTGTTTTCATTTTGTTTAATGTGATGAACTTTCTATTCCACATGAGTTGCTGTTTCAGCACGGAAGGATGCATTTTGCCCAATTAAAGATCTATCAGACCTTTTTAAACCACATATAGGGAAAAATATCCAGTATGAGGGCCTGTCACTGGTGACTGTATATCCCCAAGGGCTGGCAATGCAGTGGGGAGCATCCCTCCACCAGCTGCCACTTGCTATTACCTTCTCCTTGTGTCCTCCAGGAAGGGGAACTTTATTCTAAATAAAGCCTGAAAAACCAGAAGGTGCTGGTCTCCAGCTAAGCAGGGACATCTGTACGTGACATCTGTATGCGATGAGACCGGAGGGGTCTGCTTAGCTAATCCAGGCTGACTGGCTCCTTGCCTGACGCTGGCTGCCAATGCAGCCTGATCCACTAGCTCAGGGCTGAGCGCGCAGGTTTTCTTGGAGAAGGAAGGATCATTTCGGTTTAAGGATACAAGCAAAGGAACTTTGCCTTCCCCTTCCACGGGCTGCTGCACTGCTGAAAATGGGAGTTTCATTTCTGGCTGAATTTGTCAGCTTTCAGGTGGCGTATTGTACTCAGCCTTCATCAGCCGTCTCTGGTATTTTTATACATGGTGCATGAGCTCAGGTTACTACTTCATGTACTCTGCTATAAACTCAACAGTCCTCTCAAGTCCCTGGTGCATATCAACTCCATCTGTAGGCTTTTCCTTTATCCTCCCCCGTGCTTCACGAACATGGCTGCCAAAGCTGCCTGCAGTACAGCAGGGCTTCCCACAGCTAAACTGGGCATCTATTCTGTGTCTGCTTGCGGTTCTTGGGTGCCCAGGGATGGTGTCCACCCAATCTGCCAAAGCCTCATGCAGGGACCCTGTATTAGCCAGGAAAGTATTAAGGAGGGATGCATTTTTACTCTGGATGAGCAGAAATACATCATTTTGCTCTGCTGACCTTATCAGTATGTGTATAGACCCTTCGCCTGTCTGGGCTGCACATCATAGAATTGTAGACTCATAGAATGGTTTGGGTTGGAAGGGACCTTAAAGCTCATCCAGTTCCAACCCCCTGCCATGGGCAGGGACACCTTCCACTAGAGCAGGTTGCTCCAAGCCCCTGTGTCCAACCTGGTCTTGAGCACTGCCTGGGATGGGGCATCCACAGCTTCTCTGGGCACCCTGTGCCAGCGCCTCAGCACCCTCACAGGGAAGAGCTTCTACCTTAGATCTCACCTAAATCTCCCCTCTGGCAGGTTAAAGCTGTTACCCCTTGTCCTGTCACTACAGGCCCTGAACTAGACTGCATGGTAAGATCCTGCTGTTTCTATTTTTGCAATTGAGTTAATGGTACCTGAATGTCAACCCAAGCACACACATGGCTTGGGAAGGCAAGGGAGAACCTGCCTTTGGAGGGCATCTCAGTGCCTTTGCTAATCACAGCCTCCAGTGGCTTTACGAAGCCATCCTTGTGCTGCAGTTGTGAATTGTGGAATGAAAGATGGTTCGTGCAGTCAAAAAGAGGAGGGTCAGGAGGAAGGAAATGGAGAGGGGGAAATGACCTTCTCTGTTTGCCCTCTGCTGGCTATTTTTGTGGCTTTTGGTCTCTTACCCTGCCTGCTGCTCACATACTTCAACGTTAATAAGTGAGTATGATGTTAACGTTAATAATAAGACATTATAAGTTAATAATAACGTTAATAACGTTAATAACATTAATAAGAAACTGCTAGTGAATAAAAAGCCAGATCAGCTTTGCTTTAGATGATTAAACTGAGAGAAAGCGAGGTGGCCCCTGTAACCCGGTGGCCCCTGTAACCCTGAGCCCCGAACGCAACTGATGCACAGGGGCTGGAGGCAGCCACAGGCTCTGCAAGGGGAAGTGCAGAGCAGCAGCAGAGCCCGAGGTGTGGAGCTCTTGTGGGGATGGGTGGCTGGAGGCCCCCCCCTTTGCCTGGCAGAGCGAACAAGCTGCTGTCAGATCAAAAACACAGCCACAAGCAAGGGCTACAGGAGAAAACAAGCAAACCGCACGGCATGAAAGAGGCACCGGAGCACACTGAGGGAAGGAGAGGCCGACTCTGCACCAGGAGCGGTTGCTGGGGTTTTTGGTGTGTGCTTTTTCAGTTTCCTCCTGTGTCATGCTGGTGCCAGCCTGAGGGAGAGCTCCCTGCAGCCATCAGCCACCGGGGCTTGGTGCTGGAGGGAGTGAGGGGCTGTTCCCCAGGGCCAGACCTGGTCCTGCGGGCATCACTCCCTGGAGCAAGGCTGCTCGCTGTCCTCTTCCTGTCCATCAGGGAGGCAGGGATCATTAAAAGAAGTCAAGAAGGAAATTAAACCAGTCTAATAGGAGGGGGAAGTTAAAATGAAATGAAAATCAGTGTTCACTCGGGAGGGAGCCCTGCTCGTACACTGATAGACGTGCTAATAAATTAAGTATGCCTGGACTGTTTCTGGCACAGATGCCAACTGGCATGAGATGGTCTGGGCTATTAAACCCACTTAACCTCCAAAATGAACTGGCTGCAGGCCAGCCACTTAATGGGAGTGGCCCCTGGCCCATGCTCTCACCTAAATGCATCCCAAGAGTTTCTGGGGAGAGTGAGACTTGTCCTGGGCCAAAAATGTGTCAGGAAATGTTTTAGCAATTTAACAGGACTGATGAGTGTGTTCCAGTGCCTGGGGACATTCCCTGACACCACTTAATTTATGAGTACTAGCATCAGATACAGCCGGGCTGCCTGTAAAGACGCTGCAGGTCTGCTACAGGCACCCACTAATGAGAGTGGCTTGCTCAGTTAACATGGCAGAGCCTTGCTCCCCAAGTTCTGTAAACTCCAGAGTAACGTCACCTGTGATCTGGCCTGGAGGGATGTGGATACAGAGGGAAAGACATGGGAAAATAGGAAGTGGCATGCATGAGGAGTAGAGATAAACAGGGAGAGAGAGAACGTGTATAAAAGAAATGCTAACTAAAGGCAACTCGTTTTCCCCACTGATACGTATCATGTAGGTGGTAGACATCCTATTGTAGGTATCTGCCACAGAAATACAAAGATTAGTGTGAATGAAGTAGGAATGCAGAACATGTGAAACCATGAGAAGAAACAGAAAAACAAAGATAAATCAATCTGCTTCTAGCAAGCTGAGCAAAGTCAGCAGTTCACGGGTCCCACGGTGCTCTGCTTGTGTGGTTTTGCTCAATAAGCAGGTAGCAAGAAGGTGAAGAACGAACTGAAGCCGTAAGATGACAGAAAAATAGAAATTTCCACCAAAACAAAAGGATGGGGTGTGACTCAGCAATTTCATTAACTTTTATCTGCTCCATTACCTTCAGGTTTTATATAAAGTTTAATGACTTTGAAGTATTTCAAACCCAGTACTGACTCTGTTTATGTGCAGGTATTACTTTAGAGCAAGGTCTGACCTTTGCTGCTGGTGCTACTGGGATGGGTGATGGGACTGTTCACAGCGGGAACAAGGTTTCTTCTGTCGTCTCAGGAATGGCTCTTACTCAGGGCCCTATGCCAGTTCTTGGTGATAGATGTTTCTGCAAAGTTAGATGCATGCAGATGCCTTGTTGCTGTCCTTTTCTTTATTCTGTAGCACAGCCCAGCAGGCTGCTTGATCACTGCTACTGCATCCTTCTAGAAGTGATTTCCAATCATATGCACTGGCCTCTTTGGTTTACTATTTCTGCACAGAACAGCTCTAGCTGAGCCTGGGTAGGTTTTTTGCTCTGCACGAGGTGAGCCACAGATCTTCTCTGACTGTGCCTTTGCCATCTATTTGTGTTCTAATGGTGCACGTGGCTGCTGCGTTGCTCTTGCACCTGCAGTTTCCATACGTGCGTGTGTGTATGTCTGTCTAGCTGTCAGATTGTCAGTCATGCTGGCCTGATCTCCATGTAAATGTAATGCTGATGTTTTTGTCTACTCCTTGATAGTTTCATGTGCTCTGATCATTTAAAGTAATTTCAGTGTTAAATTATCATCTAACAGAATATATTCTACTTAATATCACATATATAAATATTGCATAAAATTATTCTTGCATTTCTTTTTGTCACAACTCCAGTATTCAGTCTATCATGCTCTTGGCATGGGGAGTGCTTGCTTTTGGAGAGGTGAGATGTTCCATTTCTGCTTGCTCCCAAGCCAGTTAATCTGCTCGGCTTCCTTTTTGTGATATATCTTGGTTTAGGGATGGAGAGCTCAGTAGTCTCCTTGCACCAGCAGCCTTTCACCTTGTCAGCCCACCCAGCTGAAGCTGACACCAGCACCTGGTTTGTGCTACAGTCAGATACTTCACCTAATTTGATGTTAGCTCCCAGATCCCACTTCAGGTTTTGTTACCATCAAGGCAACTTCTTTCAGACCTCATTCCTCCCTTCTCCCCAACCTTTTTGTTGAATAGTCCTAAGAACTCAAACAAGTCTTTCCAACAACATCAGACCTGGTGGTTATTGAGGTATTTAAGGTGACAAAGAAATAGACAAAAAAAAATAAAGAGAAGAAACTAAAGAAAAATATTAATAACAGCCTAAAGATGGCCTTAGTTATAGAATCACAAAATCACTGTCCTAGTTTCAGCTGTACCAGTTACTTTTCTCCTTCCTAGCAGCTGGTGCAGTGTTGTGTTGTCTTTAGTCTGAGAACAACGCTGATAGCACACCAAGGTTTTAGCTGTGGCTCAGTAGCACTTATCCCTATCCAGGACTTTTTAGTCTCATGCTCTGCCAGGGAGGAGGTGCACAAGAAGCCAGGAAGGAAGCAGAGACAGGACACCTGACCCAAACTAGCCAAAGGGGTATTCCATAGCACAGCACATCATGCCCAGTATAGAAACTGGGGGGAGTCACCTGGAACGCCCAGATCACTGCTTGTGTCAGGCTGGGTATCTCTTGGCGGGTGGTGAGCAATTGAGTTGTGCATCACTTGTATTTATTGTTGTTTTCCCTTGTCCTTTCAGTTTTATATTCTCTCCCCTTGTTATTTCCCTTACCATTATTAGTAATCGTAGTGTTATATTATACTTTAGTTATTGGATTGTTCTTATCTCAGCCCGTGGGGTTTACATTCTTTCCATTCTCTTCCATATTGAGCCCAGAGTGAGGGGAAAGGGGAGAGTGAGCATCCGGCTGCTTGGTGCTGAGTTACCGGCTGGGCTTAAACCACAACAGTCACACAGAAATACTTGATTGCAAGGGACTCTAGAGGTCTCCTGTCCAACCTCCTGCTCACAGCTCGGTTGACTCTAAAGCTGCAGCATGCTGCTCAGGGACTTATCCAGGGAATTTCTGAGTATCTCCAAGGGTGGCGATTGCCTGACATCTCTTGGCCAATATTGAACTCCAATATCGAACCATCTTCAGTGGGCAGAAGTTCTTCTTTATGTCTAGTTCCTTGCTGCAGCCTATAGGTACTGCCTCCTGTTCCTCTCCTGCGCACATCTGGCTCCTTCTTCTATGTAATATCCTTTAGATAATGGGAGACTGAAATAAGGTCCCACCTTGGATCTCTTCTCCCTACCAAACCCACCTTCCCATCTCTCCCTGTACATCAGGTAAGGAGGTCCAATCTCCTTACCATACTGCACTAGCCCTCCATTGGACTCTGTCCAGTTTGTTGGCATCCATCCTGTACTGGGGGCCCAAAACTGGATCCTGTATCCCAGAGTAGACCTCAGGTGTGCCAAATAGAGGAAAATATTTACTTCCCTCAGCCTGCTAGCTGTGCATTTGCTAAAGCAGCTCTGTATGTGTTTAGCCTTAATCACTGCAATAACCCACCATAGAGAAGTAAAAAAACCCCACAGAATTCTTGGCAGTATAAACACCTGCAGTCCAGTGAGTGCCAGAAACCTAGGGATGAGGAACATGCTATGTTTAATGTCAAACTCTAGAGGGAACACTGCAGCTGCATCCTTCACTGAAACACAGGACTCTAGCGATTTTACCAATGAGTTTCCATTTCGCTGTGCTGAAGGATGGGTGCGTGCTGACTGGGAACATGGATCCTATGCACTGAGGTCTGAAAATCAACCATTATTAACAGAGTATTTGGGTCTTCCAGGATAGCATCCCTTAGCAGCGACAGCATTTCCAGCCGTGCAGTCTGCAGCAGTGAGCAGCATTCCCGCAGTGATGGAATCACGCAGCATGGTGGTGAGCAGCACGCTTGCCACCTTCTTGGTTCTGCATCTGGGTAAGTCCTCAGCTCAGCAACAGCTCCCCCTCAGTTCTTACAGCCTTTCCACAAGCCTCACAACCTGTGGGGTGCTTTTATACTCCTCGTGATTTGCCATGTAACTTACCTCACACGGTTTAGAGCAGGCTCATTCCAACCATGGAGCTGTGACAGCTGCCTTCTTACCTTGTCTGGCTCATCCCTACACTGCCCAGTGGCTCTCTGTGGGGCCATGCAGCGGAGATTAGGCCAGAGGGACCTCTAGAAGCAGAGGGTCCCTGCATCCATGTCCTTGTATTTCAGAGGCACCATGGACAACTCAAACTTTGGGACTTAGGTTGCTCCCAGCATACCTTCTGAATCTGCCAGCCAAAACCAGGGTGTCTGGAGCATCACTAGGTTTGGGGAGCTGCCTTGTACAGATGCAAGAGGAGGGTTTCTATGGAAGCCAGGGTGCACACGGAGCACAGAGTGAAAATTACTGCCCTTCACACCACCTCCAGCTGTCCAGGCAAAACATGTATTTCTCATTACACATTTGCACTTACAAATGTGATGCTACCAGCTTGCTTAGCTTGACTGCTGATGTTATTAAATTTAAGTGGACTTTTTAGTGCTCATTTTCCAAGAAAGGAAAGAAGCCCAAGCCTGCACTTCTCAGATAATCAGCTGTGATTCCCCTGGTTGCAGAGGAAAGATTGGAAATCTTTTATGCACCCTAGAACCAAAAGCAAAGCAAAAGATCCCAACTCTCATGAATAACAATTTTAATTTCACAGTGGTCCAAAGTGTGATTACCAAAAGGCTGTATGGGCAATGCTGTGGTTTACGTATGTTCTTGGAGAAACCCCTCCATTAAACTCATAGAAAGCTTTTATTTTGCACTTCTGTGGCTCTCTAGCACAAGGGTCACCTGGTGATCTGCAGGCTAGGCAGCTCTGAGGGCTTCCCAGCAGTTCCAGTCATACCTCTGGCAACTCCATGTCTTCCTTACGGTCTCCTGCAGGAGTCTTCTTTGCAGGCAAGGAAAGGAAGTGGTTCTTCCAAGAAACTATCACTACTATTTCTTCAACATTATACTTCCTACTCCTTTTACTGTCACATAACCCTCATTCCAAGAATAGGAACCTGACATTAGGCCAGCCTTCCCTTTTTCTTTCTTACTTTATCCTGTCATTTTCCTGGGCTCTCAGTCTGGCTCCATGCAAAAACTGGAGAAAGGGATGAGAAAATCTGCCAGCACTGCCTGAGGCCTTGACTGGGGAGTGAAGAAAGGCTGGCATATGCTGCTCTGCCTTTGCTATCAATAGGACAACTACATCTTTTCCAGTGGAAAAAAGGTTGTTTCAGTAAAACTGTCAATATCTCAAAATTGGGAATGATGGTGAAACCACCACAACCACTGGTATTTTCACTCTTTCTGAATATATGTGAAACAGAATAACCATTAACCAAGTAAAGAGCCCAAAGTGATGGGGAGGGAAGCTATGGAGCTGGAAAGAGAAGGGATGGATGGATGGATGGATGGATGGATGGATGGATGGATGGATGCATGGATGGATGCATGGATGGATGGGACAAAGGAGTGAAAAATCTAGAAACTGAGGATAACCATCCTAGTATCTGGGAAAGGGAGAAGAAAAATCTGCGTCTTTTTGGAGAGATGGGAAATATTCACTGAGCCACCCTTTGGGAAGTGAATGTATGTGTTTTTTTGGTGGACATTGACTTTCAGGTCTGATCCACGTTATGGCTCAGCAAAGTGAACTACAGATTGGAGTGGCAGGACAGACAGTGATCCTGAACTGTGGAGGCATACCTCATAAAACAGAGGTGACCTGGAAGTACAATAATAATAATCTTCTTATAAGGCAATATGGAGATAACTATTTGAAAGGTAAGGCTTCCAAGTCATCACCCCTTCTCCCCAGGACATCCCTGAGAAACCTCTCTCCTCCTAACCAAGCTTATTTTCTCAAAAGGCAAAGCTACCATGACCAATCGATCAGAAATTGACCGCAGGAGTAAACACCTGAAGGTGTTGGACTTAAGGCTCTCCGATGCTGGCACCTACACCTGTGAATATGACTCTCACGTAGTCAGTATCTCACTGCATGTCCTTCAATGTGAGTGATTAAAGGGCTTTCACCCATGGGAAGGTGAGGAGGGAAATGGACCAGAGAGACATCTCTGCTGGAATTCTTTATCCAGCTGCCATTTCTTCTGGCCTGGGCTATCAGAGCTCATTTCTCCTCCATCTCCAGAGCACAGAATCTCCATATTCTTTGCTGTGACACGTCCCTCTCTCACAGGAAAAGTGGTAGACTTACTGACTGCACCTTTTGTTTTTACAGTGACGATTTCTTCAGATGGGTGCTTCCTGGCGAATGAAGTCCCTGAGCTGACTTTAATGCAAAGTTCATCCCATTCTCTACCGGATCTCACTATCACGGTGTCTGACCATAACAAGAACACAGTAAGATCAACACCCTCAGAAAACACGACCCGTCAAAAGTACATACTGAAGTTAAAGCAGCTGGAGGTTACAGACAGCGGGACCTGGATGTGTCACATCCATTCAGACTCTCCATTGATTAATCAAAACATCTCCTTTGATGTGAAGGTATTAGGTATGCGATAACAAAAACGCAACTCACACGCATGCTCGGGAACCAGTGCTCTCTCCAGCTCATGAGCTGAGCTTTTACTTTCCAGCATCCCAAGCAATGGTGCTCCAGGGTCAATTTCCCAGGGCTTCCATCACTGCAGCTTGAGGATTGCTTTGCTCCCTGAACCCTGTTCCACAATTGCTTCCATTTGCCTCTCCCAACTTGGTAAGGAGAGGATCCTCCTGTCCTTCAGATCTGTTTTTGTCCACTCTGGTGAGCTTGGGAGCTTTGGTTCTTTAAACCTGTTCTCAGACACTACTGTTTAACCTTTTTGGGGTAACTCATGGCTTTTCTTCAACTCCTTCAACTGAGCACAGCGTGTCTCTCTCCAGCCTAAGGGCAGCCACAGGGAAGTGTAGCCTTGGCTTTCCCTGCCTCTGTATTCCTTGTCTTTTCTGAATTCAGGTTTTCGGAATCCAAATTTCAAAAGAAAGTATGTAACTGTTGACAGCACTGTCATCTTGTCATGGCTCCTGAACTTCCAGAAGATAAAATGGAAAGAAGGTTTCACAGGACAACTGAATTGGAAACAACAGGAAAGTGCAACCGCCCATGAGCTACTTAATTTCAGTGTCACAGCACAAGGAGAGCAGCATGAGACCCAAAAAAGCAGTCACTTTTGGTTTGAGATACCTGAAAGCAAACCTGAAGGTACCATAAAAGTGGAACTCCCCAAAGTCCATTTCAACCACTCTGGGCAGTACAAGTGCGAACTGGCGTACAAGGGAAGATTCTTGCAGAGCAGGATAGACCTGGTGGTGATGAAAGGTGAGAGAAAGAGAAGGGTATCAAGAGATGAGGATTTGCAGAAGCCACAAAAGCATGGGGGGACCCATCTCCCTATTCCCTCACTCATGTGTTCTCTTCTTTCCTTTACAGTCTCAGCAAGCCACGCAGGGCCGCTCCCCAGAGGAGCTGAGATGACCCTGACTTGCCAAGTCTCTGGTCCACTCGCATCCAACGCCCACTTGCTCTGGGAACGTGTGAATGGGACGGAGATGGACAGCAGGAAGTCGGAGCAGCATGAAGTAAAGGTGAAAGTCAGTGCTGCAGGGCTGTGGAACTGTCACCTCATAGAAGACAATGACAGGAAGATCAGCCTTCATTACCCCGTGGGTACGGACATCAGCATCATGTCCTTGCTTCCACCCAAAAAATCTTAAAATTCTCTTTGTTTCTGAATGCTTTCTTCCTTCCGCAGAGGAGACTCCTGTTTGGAACAGCTACGTGACAATTGGAGCAAGTATTGGAGGCAGTGTATTAACACTTGGCCTTGCGTGCCTGTGCATCATCAGTAGCATAAGATGGCAGCGGAGAAGGGTGAGTGCCCTGGTCCCCGTGAAAGGTGATCAAACCATAGGAGGACTCTGGTTTTCTGTGTGGGTGTGGGGCAGAACAGGTTAAGGGTCAATCCTCAGAGCAAACTGTTAGAAACAGACAATCTGCAGATGTCAGACAGTACTTCACTGCCACTTCAGAGGGAAGCATTTGAAGCATAAAAATATCCAATTGTTATTTATCCCTTCTCTCCTGGCAGCAACACAGAAAAAGGATGGCACAAGCAAGACAATACTTGCTGGAAAACAAGACATGTCAGTGTCAACGGTAAGTGGCAATGAGAGCACCCAGAATGCGTAAAGACTGGTTTCAAGACAGGGGGGCTGGATGGTAGAGCAGGAAGAAACGGAGCTTGAGCCTGCTTGGTGCTGCAGTACAGCTGCACGTCAGCATTTTCAACTCTTACATGAAGTCACGAGCTATGTTTCATGAATTTCCTGTTCTGCCCCAAACCCATGGTAGCACTGTGCTGCAAATCTTTTGAGCAGAGAGGTTTCACTTGAATTACCTTGAAGTTTGAGAGATGTTAGCCAAACACAAGCTGGAGCTCCTGAGTTCTTCAATAGGTTCCACAGTGTATTTGGGGCCTGGATATACCTGTGGAGGTGGAAGGCACATAACCAAGCTTAAGGATGAAACCCAAATTTTAAAATCAAATCAGGTATACAAATATAGTAGTGAAGCATCTATTGCTGATAAATGAAAAATTAAATTCAACTTCATCTGAACAGGATGTGAATACTTTTAGCCTGCTTAAATGCTAAGAGTCAGAATTCAAGAGATACTGAGGTGAATATTAAATCTCGAGTATAGCACACCAGGTTGTATGGGTTACTCTGTGAGTGAAGGGCTGTGCTTGACTTGTGTAGGCTGCAACCCAAGCTCTGCATTCAGAGATGAGATTTGCTTAGTATCAAGTTCCAGGTTATGTGCCTTGGTCTAGTGGGAGATGTCCCTGCCCATGGCAGGGGGCTGGAACTAGATGATCTTAAGGTCCTTTCCAAACCAAGCCAGTCTATGAGTCTATGTAATCACAGCTGTGCTAGCACAGTGCTAGACTGCAATCTGAAAATGGCCAATAACCTCCTGGGAGTGAGGAAAGAGAAGATAAAACCACAGAACACAGTGAACCAGGCTCTCTCCCAAAGGCTTTGGGTGATAAAAAACACACCATCAGGTCCTGGCCTTTTTCGTGGGAGCAAGGATTTCTTGGAAGAGAAGCTGCCCTTTCCCAGGTCTTTAAGCTTACATGGTATCTGGATGCAGAAGCAGCTGGGGAGAAACACTGACAGCTATTCTGCCACTGGAAGTGGAGAGCTAAGGACAGCATAAATGATTTCAAGAGCAAGTTCAGTGAATGTATAGATACAGAACTGGACTTCTGCTTAATTTTCACTGGTGACAGTGGCAAACTGTGACAGTTTGACCTATATTTCATACTGTCACTGAGAATTCAGTGAGAATGTTTATTGGTAAATACTGCTTAACAGCTGGGATGTGTATGCAGAGAGTTAGGTTCAAAAACACTCCTCAAAAGGAGAGGACAAAGCCCATAGAGCTACATCAAAAACTAGATAAATCTGTGCAATACAAGTGCTGATACAGTTGTTCTTTAAGTCTGCCAAGTAAGCAACTCAGTGTAACTGAAACCTAAATCTAAACCATGTGGATGCACAAGTAACCATTTGAATTCCTAGCTACAGATGCAGGGGGTCATTCTCTACACTACACAAACAAGTGTGGGGCTGGTTGCAAGGTATTCAGGTGAATCCAGTACTGCTTTCACCTGTGCTGTACTGATACTCACACAGTACTTTTCTCTTGCAGCTGGCTCAATAAGTAATATTGCAGCACTGGGGTCAGAAGGACTGATGAAGTCTCTGCTTGTACCTAATCACCGGCCAGCGCATAGTGCTCTGTTAATACATCTTTCTCCTGTTTTGATGTAATTCTTTATTTCTTCATCATTTTCCCAGTCTAATGCCACAGAGGGATGTGGTCTGGCTAGAAGCTGAGAGACAAGATAAGAAACCCTTAAAGGTTGTAATTGGTCACCAGTTCTGTAATGAGAGACATTGAATAGTATCTCTATATATACACACACACAGAGAGTTGCATTTTGTGCGTGCACTTACTTTGACCTTCTTGTGGAACCAATTTTATGCAATTCTTTTATCTGCCTGAGCTACAATAAATTACTTTGAGGTTGGGTTAGTTTGGGTTTTTTTTTGCAAGATGGACCAAATGTTTTCTGAGGCACTTTTTTCTGTTCAAATTCACATTTCTCCCTTTCCTGCTAGGATGTGTAATCCTGATTCTCACCATCTCCCACCTCCCTGGTTGCCACAAGCCTTCCTTAATGCACCAGCCCTCTGCTCTCTGTGAAATCTGTCCATCCTCATTTGCCTTTCCTGGGCAGTCTGAGCCCTACAGAACCCCCCAAACCTCTCCTCAGGCTGTAGTCTTCACCTCTCCCACAACAAGCCAAGACACAGGTGAAAACACCAGAAGCAGTGGCATAATTCAGGAATAATTTTGTTGGGAGGGCAGTCCAGGCTACCAATAGCTTCTGGAACCACCTGAAGTAGTTGTGAATGTTGATCGAGAAGGTAAGTTTGGAATGGGGTGACCAAGTCATTTCCTAGGAGAACAAACCAGTCTTGCACTGAGCAAACCTCCAGAGCACAAGGAACAGATGCTTCTGAGAAAGCCATTGAACATGGTTCTCAACGAAATGATTCTTTGTTGGCTCAAGGAGATGGGAAGTGGGAGTGAGAAGCCCAGTAAATCTAGGATGGAAGTACAAGGGGGTTGCAGAGATGCCAGAATGTCCTGGAAGAAAAAAAGTACTGTTGAAATACGTACACAGAAGCCCTGTGTTTGCAGAACTTATTCTACTGTCTGCCAGCGGTGGGTCAGAAAAGCCTCGAGCTCCTACAGCTGTCACTGCCTGCAGTCCAGATCTGTCCATCTGCACCGGGCAGAAGAGCTGTGGGAAGGGCTCCCCATGGCAGAGTACCCCCATGCTGGAGGTACTGGAGCATCACGCCGTTACTGACAGAGAACACAGGTGCCAACAACGGCAGAGATGACATCTGTGAGCGGGGGGAAATCCTGTCCCTCACAACCCCGTCTCTGCCCCTCAGTGGGGATGCAGCCCCAGGCAGCTGTGGCAGCAGGTGTGGGCCACCACCAGTGTCATGCCTGCTTCTCCACCGTCATCCTCACGCAAACAGGAGTGATGGAGACCTGTGCTAATGCTGTTTTCCTTCCCATAGCTTGTGTTTGTGTATGCAAAAATACATTAATTTTGGAAAAGCTTTGGTCCATACCTATGGGCGTGTAGTCACTTCTCCTGCTCCTGTCCTGTCCCTGAACTGCCAGTGTACTTTGGGAGCCAGTTGAGGCCCATCAATCTGCTAAGCAAAGCATCATCAAGGGTTAAGGAGAGGTCCATTTTGGGAGCTGTATGAGGGAAAATGAGCACATGTCAGTGGTGGTCAATATAGCGATCATTATAAAGAGTTTGGCATAGACCCCACAACCAAAACTAACCCCTGCTCCTGCAGTACAGACATTTCTACTTAAATAACTGCTCAAGTCCCCAAATCTGCTCCACTTTCCACACATACCAATGTCCATAGCAGAGGGGTTATCCTGTACCGCCTGATCCCTGGGTGGACAAAGCAGCACATTGGGTGAGCATCCATCACAAAGCTCCTCTGGCACTGCAGCCACCATCCAGCCGTTCAGACGCTCATCTGAGGCTCTGGCAGCTGGGCCAACCAGATCTGTACTTAAGAACACAAGCCTTGACTTTGTCAGTCAGAGGATCATCCTAATAAAAAAAACCTAAGATAACAGGCCCTACCTGGCCTCCATCACAGGGTGGCCTCTCACAGGGTGAGGAGTGTCACCACGTGGATGTGCAACCCTTAGCTCAGCAACCCCAGTCCTGCTCTTTTCCAAGGGCTGGAAGAAACATGCTGAGTCCCCCCCGGCAACCAAACGCTGTGTTCCCATTCTCATAGATGCAGAAGGTCCCTCCATCCATTTCTAAGTAGCAATTGCAGTGGATATGGTGGTACCGCTGGGATGCCTGTAAGTGTACAGCTGTGTGCACAGATGCACAGCTTCCAGTTCTCCCACCTGGAGGAGTGTAACAAAAATGATGAACCTTCCTCAACGCTGCACATTTCCTCAGTAGGTCTCCTGATTGCAACAGTCATGACCCTGCCCTACTCTACTTGAAACTCACCTGCAAGCACAAACCACATTATGTTCCTATCTCATAAATCTCTTTTTTTGGAAGCTCTCCTGTCTGTACCTTTTCACATGACGACCTTCTTTGCTCCCTAGATGCACTGACTGCCCTGATTGAGAGAAAAGTCATCCACAGAGCAAGTCCTACATGGGTTTTGTGCTCCTTCTGAGTGCAATACTGAAAGCTTCAGTGTGGGCCTCAAAGCAGTAGGGAATTGGAGGTACAGACCAGATAAGAACAAGCTTGCACAAAACGTAAGTGCAAATGTAGAGGTACCTTGTGAGTCCCCAGCTAGAGTGGACTCTAGTGACATCTTGCCCAGGCAATACAACAGCACACCCCCTTTCTGACACAATACACTGTCTTCACAGGTAATACTGTGGCAACAGTGCTCCTGTGAGACACTGAAGACAGAGATGAAAAGCCAGGTGTCCTTATCAGACCACTTTTGTGTGGTCCCTTCCTTGTGGCATCCCAGGGCTCTATAGGCTGTGTTGCAGGTATCCTGATCCTCCTTCTCAGGGGGCATTGTCACACCTTCACTAGGTGTGACAAGGGTGTGTCTACACCATGCAATGGAATAATGCCTCTGTATGATGCAAACCACAGTGATACACGAGTCTGCAAAGCAGCAAACACAAGGACAGACATATTTTATCATGTGGTGACAGCTCCTCAGGGTAGTCCCGAGCTGATGCAGGGCTCAGAAAGGCTTACCTGCCAATACTTACGAAATGACAACTGCAGCAAGAGCTCTGTACAGCTATGTGGAAACATCACAGAAAGCAAGTTTAGAAAAAAAAATGGAAAGTGCTTTTTTTTCCTAAGGAAGTGTTGGGTACTTTCTGGTACTGCTGTTCCCCATGTTCCTGGGCTGCAGAAGACCAAAAGCACATGCTTCCATCCTTTGGACACACCTCTAATGCACGCTTCCCTGTCAGGACCCACGGACCTGCTTGCTCCAGCAGAGGAAGGAGTTTGGACACAGCTGAAGATGTCCGGTTCTGCTGAACTAGAAACACATGGGCTGAAATAACCCCGGCTATAGCCCCACCTCCCAAGCCCCTCCTGCTTCCCAGTTTATTTCTGCCCTTTGAGTGCAAGGAGAGGCAGTGATTCGGTGGATGCTGTCAGCCTGGATCTGCTGAGGCAGCCCATGTGACTCATGCTCCCTGCGGGCTCTGCAGTGAAGCACTCGCATCCCTCAGCCTTCAGAGCCAAATGACCCTCTGTGTTTGTTCGCATGCTCCCGAGGTCTAGAAGGGAGGAAGCTGTGCACTTCAGCCTCTTCTCATCTCCTTTTATCTCAGTGGGGAGAGAAAGAACAGTTTTCATCGTCCATTGGAGTGGCTCGTTGGCCTAATGCAGCTGCAGAGAGAGAGTAGCTTCTATTCACTCAGAGGTTAAGGTGAATAGGAGTACCAGACACTTTTGAGTGCTGAGCTGTGGACAGGGTCCTTTCTGAGAGTATTCCCAAGTACGTGTTTACCGGAGGGACCCCAGGGCTCTTTAGTGTAATCACATCCAAGCAACACCACCAAACCACAGTGGGCTGCCTTTGCTTCATGTGTCTCAGCATCTTTCCCCAGCATCCCCCCTGAAAAAGTGTTTGGCTCTCCTCCTGTTCAGGATTACAGAGCCCTGGGAGCAGCAGTAAGAGACTCTGGAGCACAGGAAGCTTTCTCATCAATCCACTGGGAAGGGGTTTGAAAGGGCTGGTCGAATCTGGCCATTCAACAATGGTTACAGGACTGGTGCTGCAGACAGGGTTTCAGCTAATTGGACCATGGGACTTGCTTTGAGAAGCCTGGGGCTGATGGGGGCTGATGGGGTCCATCTGTCCAGAAAGGAAACAGCATCTTCAGTCATAGGCCTGCCAAGCTGGTGAAAGGGGCTTTGAACTAAAGTTGCTGGGGCAGGGAAACCTCAATCAATCCTGCTCCTACCAGTCTGATGCCAGTGCCAGTAGGAGATGCCCAGAGCTTGCAGAGGGGTCACAGGTCAGCAGGAGGGCACCTGAACAGCAGCACAGAGGAATTCCAGCCACTCCATCCAGTAAGTCAGCTTCAGCAGGGACCCAGCTGAAATGCCTCTATGCAAACCTAGCATGGGGAATAAACACGAGGGGGTAGAGACATGTGCATCCTGCAGGGCTGTGATCTTATTGGCATCACAGAGACATGGGGGGATGGCTCCTCTGACTGAAGCGTTGGAATGCAAGGATACAGGCTCTTCAGGAAGGACAGGCAGGGAAGACAAGGAGAGGATGTCACCACCTGTGTCAGTGACAAGCTGGACTGCGTGGAGCTCTGGCTGGGGATGGAAGAGGAAGTGAACAAGAGTTTATGGGTCAGGATTTAAGGGAAGGCAGGGACAGGGTCTGCTACAGGCCACCCAACCAGGAAGACTGAGTGGATAAGGCCCTATATAGACATATAGGAGCAGCCTCACTTTCATGAGCCCTGTTCCTCATGGGGAACCTCAACCACCCTGCTTGAGGGACAACAGAGCAGGGCCTAAGCAATCCAGGAGGCTCCTTCTCCAAGTGATGGAGGAGCCAATGAGGAGAGGTGCTATGGTGTATCGTGGTCTCACCAACAAGGGTGGGCTGGCGGGAATGTGAAGCTCAAGGGAAGCCTTGGCTGCAGTGATCACAAAGCGGTAGAGTTTGGGAACCTTAGGGCAATGAGGAGGGTGCACAAGCTTGCTACCCTGGGCTTCAGGAGAGCAGGCTTTGATATCTTCAGGGGTCTGCTCAGTAGAGTACCACAGGATAAAGCCCTGCAGGGAAGAGGGACCCAAGAAAGCTGGGCAATATCCAAGAATCACCTCCTCCAAGCTCAGGAGCAAAACATCCCAACATAGAAGAAGTCAGGCAAAAACACCAGAAGGCCTGTGTGGATGAAAGATTTGCTCCTGGACAAAGTCCAACACAAAAAGGAAGCGTACATAGGATG